AGCTTTTCAGAGTCCATCCCATGGATGATATTGCTTGCAACAAGAGCCTTTTGGATTGCTTTCCAAGTGTCGGCGAGTCCCGGGTTATGCTGTCTAACTGGGGATCTTGATATCCAAGGACTACTAGACGTGCTTTCGGTTTATGGGTCTTTGGTCCTGGTCTGACGTTCTCAGTTGATCCGGTTTGAAGGTCGTCAGCATCAAGGGGTTTCCATACGCATATCCAGCGGCAACGCATTACCTGTTCCGGACACAGCTGATCCCGAAAGATTTTACTCACCGTCCCTGTGTTTAACCAATTTGTGATCTCCTTTTCCTTTGCTTGACGGAAGAGCGCTTGTTCTTCGGTGGACAATTGGTGCATCTTTACTTCTGTTCGGTCACGCTTGGTGGTGGTAGTCATCATGATAAGATCTGTTGCTGGTGAGTTTTCATCCCATTTCATCATTGTTTCTTGGGGAAACAGGAATTCAGCTTTCCATCCTACGGCTTCTGAGTCTATTTGGGTTTGGCACCAGTTGACCTGATCTTCTACACTTAGTAGGGAGTCACATACGAGTTCATCACCGAGATCAGATGCTTCGCTTGGGACCGGCACACTTGCTGCATCCTGATGACCGCCGGGGTCACTCGGCAATTCGATGCTTTGTCGGCTCGCTGGAGACACTTGACTCTCTGGAATCGAGGGCTCTTGATCTGGCTGGACCTCTGACGAATTCGATGTGTTTCATGTTCCTACGTGTTGTGGGATTATATTGCTATCTTCTTGGCTCTCTGGTGGAGTTGCGGGTGCTTGTTCACGAATGTTGGCATTTTGTGTATCTTCGCCTTCAATCCCTGCGATCGGACTTAGAGCTCGGGGCATATGCTGGGCTTCCATGGCACTTACGGGTCGAACATGTTCAGGGGCTATCTTTACCAAGCTTCCTGCGTGATTACACCAAAGACAATGGGGACCTTCTTGTTGGATGACTCTGGCTGGACCAAACCACCCCCGTTGGGTTGGAGTCTGTCTCCATAGCATCACCCAAGTTCCCCTGTCATAGGATCCTCGGCGAGGACAGCTTCGCCGGAGAACAGCACTTCGCAACGCAGAGCTGTTGTCTGCACCGTGAAAAGCTCGTCGTGCAGCTTCGCGGTATGCCAGCTTTTCTTGAAATCTGATTCCTTCCTGGGTGTCATCGTCTGCCAGGAGGTGCGATGGCAATTGCTCGTCCGATGAGATTGATGCTGGAATTCTGGACCCTTTTCCAAAAACAAGAGTTTCTGGGGAGTATCCCTGTTTCTGGCTCAGTGCATTCTTGGCAGAAGTGCAGTGCGATAGTGCTGTCTGCAGGTTGGTGTATGACGTTATTGGATGTTCCTGTTCATACTTCTTGAGCATTTCCTGTAGGATTCCACCATGTCTTTCTACTTTTCCGATTTGCCAGTGTGCACCTGGCGGGGTAACTATTGCTTTGATGTTGAACTGGCCTAGAAAAGTGACAAATTCCTTGGATGTCAATTCCGTCCCTGAGTCTGTGTGATCTCAATCGGAGCCCCTGCCCATTGGAGCCATCCATTGAGCACCTTGTCTATTGCATCATCACTGCTTTTACCTGGGCTTGCACATGCTACCTGGTAGTTTGTTCCATAGTCGATGATGTGATAGAAGTGGAAGTTGGTTTCTGCCAGATTCGTGTATACAACACCATCTATCCCAATACAGTCGTTGAAGTCTAGCTCACGTTTGATTGTAGAAGGTCTTTGATGTTTGGGTTCCTTAGTATTCTGACATACGGAACAACTTAGGTCCATGGCAGCTTGACACAATCGGGGTGAGTACCCCTGTTGACGCAGCATTGAACACAGCTTTTGACCATGAGGGTGTCCTAGGTTCTGATGCAATTTCAGCAAGAGCGATTTTTCTTCGGCTGATATGGTCTTGAACTTTGGGCCATGGTCAAAGCTCGGCATATGGAGTTGACTCGAACTCGCTCCTGTCTCTTTGGTCTGATCCGGATCCAGCTCTGTGACAGGTGCTTGGTCACTACTTGGCAGGCTGACGGTTGCCTCCTGCGGCTCGATGCTTGTTCCCGTTGCCTCGGGACTCATATTCTGTTCGGTCGAATCACCTGATGCTTCTGACTTGGATTGGGGCAAACATGCATACATTGTGATATTGACTCTTGCGGGATGTGCTGGGCGGACTTGCTGCCGATGAGACAGGTCTTGCCAGTATTCCCAGTCCTTTTCTACTTGGATTACCCCCCCTACTCGGCTTACGATGATGGCACGACGATATGGGGCCTCATTCTTTACCAAATCCCTTGGCGGTGGTAATGTTCGATCTGATCCCTTACATGCTTGAACTTTCTTGATTTCTTTTTTGGGGAACATGTTTTGAAGCCTCTCCAAGATTTGGTGGTTTGTGATAAAAGTCTTCCCTACTCTTGGCAACATTGGTTGGATGTCCTTGATGATTTCTTCTAGTTGTCTCTGAGGTGACATGTTCATACTCTGCCATTCGACCGTCTTGCCGTCAATGCGGCGGCGCTTGCACTCGTTCGACAATTGCTCCAGGGGTGTTGGTGGCAGTCGCCCACCTTGGGACTTCTGCATGGGAGAACTCACACGGATCCGCTTGGATGCACTTTCCTCACTCGGTTGATCTATTCCTCTGGTTACAAGGGCAGTAACCCATGGCTCATGTTTCACTTTCAACATCACCTTAGCTACTTGTCTTGCAAACTTTCTTGGATAGTTCTCTGTATAGCTACTGACGGTGATTCTCCCGAGAGGCGTTGTCACGGATCCGGCAATGGGTCTGTGCTCATGATCTCGACGACACACCCGGCCATGCAACGAGGCATACATCTCTTGCGATGTCGTTCTTACAGCCATCTCCTTTTGTATGAGTTTGTTCGTTTCTGGACATGTCAACTGGCCTACACGACACATGTCGGAAATTGGCTTCCTGAGTATATGAATACAGCTCTTGCAGGAGTGGGGTCTTGAACATGATGGATTTTCGTGGCTGCTCCCAGTGCATGTGGTTTCCTAGCTGACGTGACATGCGAAGCAAGACTACTCCTAGTGCAAGTTCGAACAAGTGTGACTCTCTCTCTCTCTCTCGTTGAACATGTTCACACAATTGGATTGATCTCATTTCATTGAACGTGTTCCATGCGCTCCATGGTCCACAGGTGGGACTGAACCATATGTGATGGGGTCTTTGTTTCCACACCATTTGAAACAGAACACTTCTCCCCTCCTTGGTTCTGAGGTCCCCCTGCGCCCTTCCAAAACGGTTGGCTCTGCCGCCCAGCAATTGGACTTGCTTCGTCAGCTCACTGGCCTCGTGACAAAACACTTCCAGCAAATGTAGACGGCTGCATCCGTTCGAGATCACTGGATCACACCTTGCTAGACTGGCTTCCTTTGAGATTTGCTGAACCAGTGCATGGAATTTATGGGACAGACTGTGAGTCTTACCTGGACTGACATCTTTTTGGCACATGGACGATACATGTATATCAGCTTCCTCGAAGGAGTCTAGCCATGACGAGCTCATGAAGCCCGGAGGTGGGCAATGATCTCCTGCGTCGCACCTTCGATGGTCTGAAGGCGGGTGTCCATGGCTGCCATCTCCGTGTAGATCTCTGGCTGGATCTCGATCTCCTGAACTGGTTCCCAGGATTCGTCCTCGGCAAGATCTGCCAAGTCCTGCGGGGTCACTTCCTGAATCGGCTTGGCCTTGGCCTTGCTCTTGAGAGCCGGATGAAGTGGCCTCTGACTTGGTGATGGCTGCAGGTCTTGACTGTTCAGACCCAGTTGGTGCTCGGCATAGGTCACCCTCAGTGAGATGTAGTGGATGAACTTCTGATGGTTGACCTTGCTCGACGAGTGGTAACTTGCCTGGAACCACTTCACATACTTGCCCTCCTTTTCCCACATCTCCGAGTAGGTCCGACCGAGATGGGCTGATCCGAAATCGATCTTGGCTTGGCCCATTTCGTCCAGTGATAGGAGCTTGAAGGCTTCGAGCTGATCGAGGGCTTCTTCCTTCTTTGCTTCCCCCATGACACGTGCCAAGCGGGCACTCAGAGCGGCTGCTTCGGAGGTCGGCATGATAGCGATGCGGCACAGGTGAACGAATGGGATGGTCACACGTGTGTGATTGCACAGATCCGGTCTTGAACCCAAAACGGATGACACCGGGCTGGACCCACCCTGGAACCGATTCGAATGAGACTTTCTCACCCCCGCGAACACTCGGACGTTCGTTTGGTTTCTTTGTGTTCGTATGGGTCTTTGTTGATTCGGGCATGGCGGCTTCGAACTGTTGGATTCTGCTTGTTACAAGACCTGTCCTCGCCTGAACGTTCTGTTTCATCATGGTCTTGGTTTCCGACTGCACTTGTCCAGGCTTCTGGACAGAGACACTTGGCAAGCTTTTGCAATTCAAAGTGGCGAAGGTCTCGGCAGGTTCAGCTTCGGCATCTTGACTGGTGGGTGTGATCAGATCATTTAGATCAACTAAAAACAAACCCTTGGCATTCAGCTGAATTGGAATATTGCGCTTCAAGAGAGTGCTTTTGATCACTTCACCAGCTATATCTACGGTGGCTCCGATGGCTCGGAGCAGAGTATTCGACAGCAGGAAAGGTGTATGGCCTGGCACTATGGCAATCTTGAGCTTCAGCGGTCCGATTGGGACAACGAGCGCACGCTTGCTTTCAAGGGTCCCTTGATTCCCAAACCGAAAAACCACTGAACAACGACACCTTTGGACCTGCTTCCGAACCTCTGGCCTTAGTGCGGCTAGGAGGTTGGCTACGAAACCGCTTCCTACGACGGTCTTAGTAGCACCTGTATCTACGATTCCCAGGGCATCGCGAGTTGAAAAGCTCGAGAATGCACTGGCTTCGGTGTCATGCATCGACTTGGCTTCAGGTGATTGGGCGGTGCTAGCAAACGCACTCTCTGGCAAGCTAGTCCTGACATCAAAATTCTCACACTCGGCGATCATTTCCCCTTTGTGGGCTAAATCAATGATTTCCCCTTCATTGGTCTCCCACAAACCCCTCAGAACACCGGTGTCCCTTGATTCACAAACACACAAAACTTGTTTCGTATTCTCTTGAGTGGCGTTGAGCGTCTCTTTGGTCAGCTCTGGCAAATCCATGAACTCCAGTGGCAGCGCGTCCTGCTCATCATTCACTGTCACCAGTGTAGGAGCAACAGCTGTCGATGGGACCGACTGAGATCCACGTTCCGGGCATTCAGCCTTCCAATGGCCTTTTCGGCCACAAATCCTGCAGCTGCTCTCCATGATCCTCTGCTGGAGGCTCTTTCTATTGCCAGAAAACTTTGAGGGGTAGGGGGATCGCTTTCCTTTTTCACCCCCTTTCCCTTTTCCTTTGCCTTTGTTCTGACTTGTTGGCCAGAACCCACGGCTTTTGAAGCGCTCTGACAGGCGGCGACGGGCATCCATGTATGATGATTGTGTCAATGCTAGATCTTCGTTGTCTTGCACTGCATCCAACATTGTGGATTCATACTCCATGATCATGGCGGCGTCCTCGTCACCATCATTTGCAAGACTCTCAATCCATTCTTCCTCGGTCCAATCATCGAGATTGTAGGTGGGCTCGTCGGGCGCTTGGTCGTGACCATCAGCTTCTTGGGCAATGAACGCATTGGCCTCATAGGTTTTGGTCCTTGGATTGTTCTGCTTTCCGCTGGAGTGGACCTCATGGAAGAATCGACTCCCCAGGAGCTTCAGATTGGATACCACCTCTCTGTACTCGAGTGAACCCTGCGATTCAACAATCAGTCTCTTCTTGTCTTCTGAGCTCAGGGCTGAGTTGCGAAGCAAGATGTATGCACGAAACTCATCCATGCCGACCTTCATGCTCAGCAACTCTTCGAATTGATGATCGCGCCGAGCTAGATAGCTCTCATGGGTCTCGTCGGCTCTTTGGACCGTGCTGTAGATTGCACGCTCAAACCTTTCAAACTTGTCCTCCAATCGGGATTTTCCCCAAATCCCTCCAAGGGCCTCCACGATGGCCTTCACTCCCTCCAAGTTTCCAACACGCAGCTTCTTTGGGTCAAGTCTGGCAATGCAACTCGTGGGGCAAGCAGGTGTAGTTGTTCTGGAGGCCATAGTGATGCCAGGAACTCTACTTTCCGTGAAGGTCCGTCTCACCAGGCTTGAAAGATGGAACCTGGCTCCATGGGAGATTGCTCAAACCTCCTGTGGAGGAACTGGAGCCAGCTGAATCACCTTCCGGTGGCATTGGGCTGTTTCCTCCCTGGAAACCGCAGCTCAACAACTCTGTGACAACACCACCAAGACAATGTGCAACCTGTCGACTGCCTTGCGGCCAAACAACGTATCCACCGACTCAACCACGCAGTCAACAACAACCAAGCACAAGGGTCAGGTGTTGTCTGGAGCTTTAGCGGTAGCTCCGCTACCAATGTGATTGACACAAAGGTAGCAACAAAAGATCCTCCTTCCCTCGCACAGCCGCGTGCGTTTTCCACTCACAGCTCACCTGAAGGTTGGTACGAACGGTCGGGCGCCTCGCCCTGCAGTGTCCTCACTGCTTCTATGGCTCAGGTCACGGGTGACCCACCCTACACCACCCTTGCGGCCTCGCACACTCGTGGCTTCGGACGTGAACACACCTGAGTGGGTCAAGACTGGTTCCTCAGTGACCGAAAGGTTCGAAATTCACATTATATATATATATATTTTTTACTATATATATATATATATTATATCATTGTATTACTATATATAGTTTACTATATATGTTTGGGCACGGCATTGGGGCCTCACCAGGACAGCTGGTGGCGTGTACCGTGATGAGATAATTTGCGAAGTGTGTTGCATCATTCGCGGTGCATGGATGAGACGCGCTTTGAGATCGCATCGAAGTCTTGATATGCGCACAGTCCTTCCATTTGCAAGCTTCACATGCGCTCTTCACTGGAACTGCGAGTCCAAAGAAACCGCCGACCTCATGTAGCCCTTTGGGGGCTGAAACCTGCTGCTGGAACATGGAACCACGTGTGACCAGTACGCCAAGTGGTGCCAAGCGGTGCACACCTGCACCCAAAGAATGATGCTGCCCTCAACCCCTCAACCACTCCGCATCACCCTGCACCGGCCCTGGTAACATTTCGCACACGGCGGCAACTCTGTCACGCTCACTCACACGCATCTCTCACTTCGTTGCATCAATGTGTACCTTTTACAACTTTACGTGTCCTTTACAGGGTCGATAGCTCAATCATGGCGTGATTCACATGAAAACGGAGTTGCTGTTCATTTCGGATCAATCCTTCATTCCATGTTGAATTGAGATAAGTTCACTACTTAGAAGCGATGCTTGAATCATGACCACAGCAATTGAGCTTTTCAAGGGCACATCTTGGTTGCAAACGATATAGCATCACCTCAAACAGTGGAAAACAAGCAGAACAAGCTTGTGTGTGAGTGTGTGTGTTCGATTGCGTTTGCATCAAAGAACTCAACTGAATTCTTGGAACCCAGCACATGGTGCTGCTTGCTCTAGGGTGGGCCTCAAATGTCCAACACACACCTTGCAGCCATGTCCGTTTATCAAACATGGTCTGACATGACCGAAGCGTCCTTGCTCCCAGTATCGATGCCAGAAGCCCCTAGTAGCATCCCTGCTCCTAGTAACGTCCTTTGCTCCTAGTAGTAAGGCCAGGAGCCCCCTAGTAGCATCCCTGCTCCTAGTAGCGTCCTTTGCTCCCAGTAGTACGGCCAGGAGCCCCTAGTAGCATCCCTGCTCCTAGTAGCGTCCTTTGCT